CCCCCCCTCCCCCTTCCCATCGCCGAAACTTTCTACGTTCGGTGTAGTTGATAATAAGTTAATGCACAACTTAAACGTGGAGACGACGAACCTTAGTTCGGTGGAGAAGGGGTGGCTATCTTTGGCGCTTGCATCCTACATCCGGCGCACAGACTCGCAATGCGATCCGCCGGCTCTGCCAACGCGAGAGACTGTGGGCACATGTTTCAACTTGGAGGAAAACATTTCGCAACACGCAAAGTGTAAGACGCCCCATATTGACTTATTCTGTATTGATTCAGATTTGGAACATGTCCGGGCGGATTTTAACATAGACTGACGCCTTACCAATCCGAGTGGCATCAAGCTCTGGGTATTAAAAGGTTTGAAATTGTGGTCCCCACAATCAAACATGCCGGGTGCCGCTTGCTCGAAGCCACCGAAGGATTCGGTTAAAGACGCGAGTAGAAGTAAAGAAGCAGAGGACGGCGAAGAATTAGGGCCTATACAGCCCGTCTCTAAAGCAGGCAATTCGAAGGGTGGTGGAATGACTCGAACTTCGATTGAACCCACGTACAGCAAACCGAAACCGGCTCAGGAGATAGAAGAGGAGGAGGAGGAAGAAGAGGAGGAAGAAGAGGAAGAGGAAGAGGAGGACGAAGAGGAGGACGAAGAGGAGGACGAGGAGGAAGAAGAGGAAGAGGAAGAAGAGGAAGAGGAAGAGGATGAGGAAGAGGAAGAAGAAGAAGAGGAGGAAGAGGCCGAGGAAGAAGCCAAGCCTGCGCCCAAGGCAGCGCCCAAGGCAGCCGCCGCGGCGGTTCCTGCAAAGACCTCGGGCACTGCGGCTCCCGCCAAGGCGGCCCCAGCTCCAGCGGCCCCAGCCGCGGCAGCTCCGGCAGCCGCGGCGGGCGACGGGTCGAAGGTGGAGTTGAAGGACGACTCGAAGCCGGCGGCAGACGGAGTTGTGGACCGCCCACCAGGGCAGAAGGGTGTGATACCTGAGTTGAAGGAGAAGCGGGATGACTTTACGCCGAACCCACGATTACCTCCAGAGTTGCAAGACGACTTAGAACCGTACCCGGTCTTGGAGAATCAGATCGTACTGGATCCGGGTGCAAAAGAAAAGTCGATCAAAGGCGGGTTCAAATACACTGGTGATTGGGACGGGCCGGAGATGAAAGGTGTCGGTCGTTTAATTTACCCGGATGGTGGTGTGTATATTGGAGCCTTTGAGAACAATAAGCCACACGGTGTGGGAATTGTGCGTATGAAGAATGGTACGCGTTATTTCGGGATGTATGTGGACGGAAAGCCGAACGGTTACGGTCGTTATGAGTTCCCGGACGGTGCGATTGCGATTGGGCAGTTTAAGGAGGCCCAGCGTAACGGCAAGGGTAAGGAGATCCGGCCGGATAAATCTGTGTACATCGGTAACTTTGTTAAAGGAACACGTGAAGGCCTTGGATTACTACGTGCTGGTGATGGCGAAGTATATCTCGGCGACTGGAAGAACGGTATGCTCCATGGCCGAGGCACATACTGGTGGGCCGATGGTAAGAAATATACCGGCGACTGGCGACAATCGAAACAACATGGTCAAGCCATGGAATGGTGGCCTTCTGGCCAAGTGTACAAAGGTAACTTTGTTGATGGTGAACCATCAGGTCAGGGTGTACTCCAGTACGAAAACGGCGCTCAGGTTCATGGCACCTTCGTCAAGTCACATGTTGATGGTCCTGCTCGAATCTATGAACGACCCGATTGCTATCGTGATGGTGTTTGGCGTTTCGGAGTACGTATTAGCTGGACCGGTGAAGAGGTCAAGTGCGATCCCATCGAAATCCTACCCGCCAGAGATGACACGGGACCTCCCGTCTAACCCCTCTAATCACACCTCCCACTCTGTGGATCAAACCTCCCACTCGGTGGATCAAGCCTCCCACTCGGTGGATCAAGCCTCCCACTCGGTGGATCGAGCCGAAGCTTTGTTCAACAATTAGATCCTGTGTTTTTAATCGTGTTAATTCAGGCCACCCCGTTAACTCAGACTGCTTGTTTACATAGACCCTCCCACTGCTTCGATCTACTCCAGGTACACCCATTCGATCGATCGATCGATCGATCGATCGCTCATCTCCTAGGTCTACCGATTCTAGATCTATCCACCCCAGATTCCATGCCACCAGACATACACATTCAACGCCAACGGGGTACGTACCCTAGCCTGCCCTGATAGCCAGGGCTGGATTGTTTTATGTATGCGGGCTAAAATAACTGTGCCGCCGGTGGAGGTTCCGCAAATTGTGAAGAAGCCGCACCCGGCGGAACCGGAGGGGGCGGAGCCGGAGGGGGCGGAGCCGGAGGCGGTGTCGGGTGTAGCTCCGACATCGGGATCTGGACCGACATCTGGAGTTGTTCAATCAGGTGGCGTGACGAATAAGGTGAATGAGGCGTCTAAGAAGTTTTTCGCAAAGCTATGCCATCCGGTTACGGCCGAGTTCTCTCAAGCTATCGTAGTGCCAGCTCTTCAATTTGCCGATCGGCAGACGGAACAACTTTATCAACGTGAGAATTTCATGAGCACTCATCGCGTTGCCTACACTGTGCTCTTCGGATGTTTCCTTATCGCACTACAAATCTGGTTCGGACTCTACAAGGGCTGGCTTGGTATCAACGAATCCAGACATGAAATTAACGACCAGGAACAAGCCGTCGATTCCCTAAACAGTCTACTGCGGTCCTCCTTTGCACCACACGACTCGGCCCTCTGGAAACCGAGATATCTTGGCGAGATCCTCCACGATTCGAGCGGATTCACGGACACATCCAACGGATTCGCGGACACATCCAACGGATTCGCGGACACATCCAACGGATTCGCGGACATGACTGAACTCGCGGACATGACTGAACTCGCGGACATGACTGCCATTGGCGACTTGGTTCAAGTCCCTTCGGAGCATTCCTCTTTATCAAGATCTGACCTCGATCAATTTCATACAAACGGGTGTCCTGACATCGTTACAAAGTCATCAAAAAATGGACCATCGGTGCGAAGGTGTCTATGGGGTCGAGAAGAGCAGACGGTACCATTACGAGCGGATGCTGCATTATTCGAAGCGGCGTGCATAAACCAATCCGTAGCGGATGCTGTGATCCTGTTTGTTTGGTACATTATCTCATCTTTGAAAAAGTATCAGAAGCGACTAGAAGCTTTCTCGATTGTGGTGCAGATTACCAGAGTGATTTTGATTGTGCTTTTTGCACAAGGAATGTGGTCGGATTGCGCCCGTAATCAGGGCCCTACCGATGTCATGATGAATAATCTTGCCATTGCCTCCGCCAATGTTGCTTTCTTTAACTGTGTCCCACTCGCCCGTGTCCGACGAGGTTGCGTCATGACTTTCATCTACATCGTTGGTGTCTTCGAAATCATTATCGTCATGACCCAGGGCTCCACCGGCGGCGTCGCCATGAGTCCCCATGATGCTCCCCAACTGTATGCTCCCCCCACACCCACGCCCAGTCTACCACCCCCCCCAGTCTACCCCCCCCAGTCTACCACCCGCCCCGGTTGTAGAACGATGTACATCATGATCTTTGTGTTGATTCCATTTGTCGCGTTGATCGCGCGGTACCGGACGGAAATGAGTGAGCGGGAAGCGTTCTGGTTCAGGCGGCAGGCGGAACAGTTAGCGGCGGCGAATGCGTCCTTGCAGAGTGACTTGGAGGAGGTGAACAAGGTGCGGACAATGGACATCGAGAAGTCATTGCCGGAGGGGCTGGTGCCTTCGCAGATTGTGCATGTAGCAGTGCGTGAGTTGCAGCAGGCTGAGCGTTGTGTGGAACAATTACAACGTGCGTTGCCGTCGATATTCCTTCAGCAGACGAAACACGCCCGACGGTATGAAGGGACGGACGCAAGGATTAGTACGGCACGTCAGATCGGAATGATGATGGAGTTTGCAGGTGATCTTCGTGCTTCCGTACAGAGTGCTTTGAAACTATTATGTCGTTCCCACGACCTCTATTCTCCGGCAGTGCACGATAATTATGCCGGGGCGCTCATGTTCCATGCGGTCGGGCACGACAACACGTTGACGGTGCCTAAGCACTCGCGACAGAGCACGAGCAAGTCGATGAACGAGAAGACGGACGAGTCCAACGCGTCACTGGATAAAGCGGCGGCTGGGGGTTCTGAAGTGACGGTGGTGCACGACTTTCCTTTTCTCTCAGGACTGGGCGAGATGGCGCGAAACATCGGCGCCAACTGGGGCTTCGATATGCTCAAGGTTACACGTGTCACCAAAGATGAGGCAATTGTCACGACCGGTATGCTACTAGCTTCACCCATTGTGGAAACTATGCACTTCCCATTCGAGTGGCCCAAGTGGTTCAACTTTCTTCGGACGATCCAACATGAATATGGACCCACCGAGAACGTTCCCTATCACAATCGGACGCACGCAAGCATTCATGCACACGCGACTGCCGTCCTGCTTACCTGGCTCGGACACGCAGAACGGTCAAGCAGCCTCGAAAGCCTCTCCATACTAGTTGCCGCCATCTGCCACGATGTCGGACACCCCGGACGTACCAATGCATACCTGGTCAATGCGAACAAACGCCTCGCTATCGTCTACAATGACATCAGCGTACTCGAAAACTTCCATGCTTGCCGTACATTCGAAACACTTCAACAGAAAGCCAACAACTTCATACAAGCAATCAACAACGACGACTACCGATACTTCCGCAAAATCGTCGTCGACCTCATCCTGGCTACCGACATGAAGGCCCACTTCGAGCTCGTCAATTCTTACAAGCTCCACCGGTCGTCACCCCAGTTCGATCTGTGGGCCGATGAGAATAAGCTGGCTTCCCTTAAACTCGTCGTTAAGGCCGCCGACCTCTCTCACGGCGCTCTCGACTGGCACCTCCACCACTCCCTCTCCATGGCTGTCAACGAAGAATTCTGGGCGCAGGGCGACGCAGAGGCCGCCATGGGCTTGCCCAAGTCGCCCCTCTGCGACCGCCAAGTGCGCGTCAGTGAACTTGCCAACTCCCAAGCCGGCTTCCTCGAGTTCCTCGTCCTCCCGCTCTACCGCGAACTCGCCGCTGTCGACCCTTCAGGCAACCTCAAGTACGGACACACACATCGGGGACACACACATCGGGGACACACACATCGGGGACACACACACCACCATCTCACCCGTGCGGCACACACACATACCCGTGTTCAGGTCGATATGCGAGCCCCGCATCCTGGCCAACGCAGAGAAATGGCACGAGATTGTGGATGACAACAACAGCGCAGCCAAGAAGCCCGATGAACCACCCGTTCTGGAGACGAGGGTCACACCCCAGTGTAAGCAACAACCTCCCAAGGACACCAACAACCTCCCAAGGACACCAACAAACCTTTTGTAGTGGACGGCGAGGAAGATGACTGACTACTGGCATCAGGACTGACTCCTGGCATCAGGACTGACTGCTGGCATGAGGAGTGACTGGCATGAGGAGCACACACTTTATTCATTTTTAGTTTAAACTAATAAGGTAGTAAGGGAACAGGATAACAAGGGATGTGCTTCCCTTGATGTAAAAAGAGACTAAATAACATCTTTTATGCTGCAACGCAAGAACGTTATTTTACCATCATCTTTCGCTATAATCATTAAATTACGCTGTTCTCGCATCGGCTTTTTCCTCTTCGGCACGTGCCACAGATGACAGAACTGACACTTGTCCCCGTTCAAACATCCTTTCGACCAGAAGAATGCACAGGGTTTGCAGTTCAAGGGGTGGCCATCACGACTGGAACAAAAGGCGGTGGGTGTCACACATGTGCGGCATTGCTTACTACATCGTAGGAGATTCTGTGGCGGAGACGGTGGTTGTTTGTTCACTCAGTGCACTGAGTGGTTTTCCAAACTCTTGAGGGGAGGACTGGTCCTTTTTAACGGTGATTAAACTTTGCGAAATGGGCGAAGGATTCAGCAGGAGCAATTCGCCTGGCTCGTCTGGCGAGTTCTTGAATGTATATCGTTTCACTAGGTCGCAAATAGAACCTCCTTTCTCCACAACGATGAAATCGTCTTCCTCCGCCACTCGGGGGATGGGAAGCGTGCCAGCCGGGGAAAGCGTGCCAGCCGGGGAAAGCGTGCCAGCCGGGGAAAGCGGTGGCACAGCTCCAGACGTTGAAGTGTCTGGTGTGGAGCCGGACTCTCCCTTACCCCACTCACCCGGTGATGGACTCTGACCCGGGCTCTGACACATATTGGCAGAGAACTCCTTAAACGATCTCACGAGCTCAGTTACGCTCATTCGGGCCAACGGACTCGATGACTCCAGATGTACAAAAGTATTCCGGCACAGTTCACTTACATTCACCAGGCTCTACACAGATACCACATACCCATCGTAATCCCATCAGTGTCTTACTCGGTCTTCTTCGCAAAAGAATGAATCATGCTGGTGGGCACTCGCAGGCGATAGCTCTTCGGGTAAATTCGCCCACACCGAGTCAAAGGACGGCCCCCCCGAGTTCGGATGCCTAGCACGCGCCTCAGCAGCCGTCGTAGTTTGCGACATAAATATTTACGATCTAAAACATCAAACTCAGTCTCACCAGCACAAGCCACCTTCTGGCTAGAGATCTGGCTCGAAACCAGATCTGGCCGGCAGGGAAGGGAGGGAAGAGGGGTGAAGACAGGGGGAACAGCGGCTGCAGTTCGAGATTTTTAGAGGTGGCGTTTTTGCTTGTGTGGCATACCGGGGATGTGTCGGTCGCCTTCGGTCTACCCTTTGGCATCGCATCCAGCCCCCAGTTCACTACCAGCTCATCGTGTGCGAGACCACTCAACGGACCAGCCGGCCCTACCGTTTTTTTTTGGCCGGCCCGGCGGTAAAAAGTACTCACCAATCAATTTCGATCCGAATGAAAACAGTGGTAAGCGTGGCGGCAGAATCGAGATCGAGATGGGACAGTACATTGTTGGGAGCTATTGTAAACCCAGACGGGACAAGGCCTGGTCTTCGCGGATGTACGGCTCTAATGGCGGAGGTCGGTTTCCCAAAAGGGCCGAGTGTCAGTGCTCTTGTTCTGGCACCTGATGAAAAGCTTCTCAAGAAATTCTCAAAATTTGATTTGCTAAAAGATGCGAATCGAATCAAGATTTGCCCGCCGTACAGTACGTGGGGTGTTGAACAGAGCGGTGTGCAGAGCGGTGGGCAGAGCGGTGGGCAGAGCGGTGGGCAGAACGGCATGTCGAAATATGACGAGCCGAGGCAGGCTGGTTCCTCGAGCGTCGAGTCGTTCCTTGCTGCTGCTGTGAAGGAGTACTTGATGGGCAGAGACATCGGCGGCAGAACGGCTAAGGACGTGTGCTTCGAGATTTTCGGAAAGAGGGTCGGGGACGTGTATGCGCTTGCCCGTAATGTGGGTGATCTACATGGCCAGCAGAAGAGAGGGTGTGTGGTTCAAGTGCTGTCATGCAAGTCTTTGAGACCGAAGGATTTGGAGGAGTTGTGCGAATTGGTGCCTGAAGAGTGGTTGCCGGTCATGAAAGATTCGGTGGTAGATGATGTGGACCTCGAGGCAGGTCAGGAGAAAAACCCGAGCAGGTGCGTTCGTTGGGGGGTGGGGCTGACGGCGAGTCTGGGTACCATTGCGGGTGTCGGGTTACTGACCTGGGCGGCGTATCAGGCGTTCACTTCAGGCATCATAGGCTTTGGGCGGGCGAAGAAAGGAGTTCCGCGGCGGATGCGTCGGCCTCCCGTGAACTTGACGGCGCTGGTATGTCCCGACGACCTAGCCCAGATTACGGGCTGTTCTCACCCCGGCATGGAGACTCCCGGCCAACTCATTGCGAGCTCTGACGGTATTTTAGATCGAAAAGTTGCCATCGCATGTGCTAGCAGTAGTGGTGCTATCAAGTTTGTAGAAGATAAGCTTCATCCGAACTACTGCCACTTCTTCGGATCTCCCTATCCGTACGACTTTCCCGCCGTCTGGGATGCCACCCGGGACCACTCGTTTCATTCTAAGTCCGGTTTGGCTTACGCTTGCTGCAAAACCTCGAGGTCAGCGGCCAATGACAAATACCGCGCCATTATAGCCAAATTCGATCCGGAATACCCTATACCCACCCTGGAGATGTATATAAAGATGTATAAAGACAACATGACGCTCCTCAACGAGACACTGCCCGAGACGCGCCTCAACAAGACACTGCCCGAGGCGTTCCTCAACGAGACAATGCCCCCGAAGCTCCTCAGCGAGGCGCTGAGCAAGAAAGCGAACATGCTTCTCGCACACCACCCACCAATCCCCGGCTGCGTCGGCGCCTGTGAAAATTGCCTTCGAAACGACTTCGAGGTCCTCGAAAGCTGCACTTGCGCGTTCGCCACTCTTCAGTGTGTCGTCACGGATATGATACACAACAAGACGGGTGAGTTTCGACTGGCTGACTTCGACACCACACTCCCGAAGCTGTTCGCCGGCATGACTGGGTTCTACGAGCGGGACTGGTTCGTTCGGAAATGTTCCTACCACTGCCACCGCTAACCTTGACCGCCGTGAACTTGACGTTTTTTTTCAACGAAAGGACGTCCCGAGATTTTTAGAGGTGCCGCACCGAGCAATTCTATCTGGTATACCGAGCAATTCTATCTGGTATACCGAGCAATTCTATCTGGTATACCGAGGAGTGTTTTCAGTCTACACCTTGGCATCCCACCCAACCGCCAGTTCACAACCAGGGTACGCTGGTCATGATTCGTGAACGGCGTTCGTAGGTGGTTGCGATACTGTTTACGGACATTCTCGCTACGCCGCGTCGATACTTGTACGCCCACAAATAGGTTTAGTTTTTTGGTCGGGCGCACTGTCGTCAAGCGCGCAATGCTTCCGGTGCATACAACCCGTCGTCTCTCTGTTAGAGTTTAATCTTCGAGTTTAGTCAGCGTCCGGTATTGTCGATGCTCTGAGCACGAACTCGTCGGAAGGTCGAACAAAGGTGACTCTGCTGCTGAGTGGTGAAGGGTTGCACTCCAATGGTCATCGCGTCGAGGTCTCGGTCTTGCGCCTGCTAGTCTGGACAGCTTGTGTGACCTGGCATAGTATACGGCGTACTGGCTGGCGTCCGTTTCAGCACCAGTTGTACGTCAGGCTCGAGTGCCTGGAGGTAGCCCGCCTCTATCCACGTCGGTAGATCTTCACTTGTTTGGCAGTAGTCGGTAATCTTCCATGGTGCGTCGGAAGTTGGCGCACGTTTAGCGTTTCGCTGAAGGGCGGACCATAGGAAAAAGTTCCCGCTTTGTGGTCGAAGAAACGCGCGCGCTTTTGTTCTGTTCAAGAACCGACCAGAGCTTGTCGACAAGCTCGTCAGACAAGTGCTGGGCTCGTTTGTGTACACTCGCTTCGGCCTGTACTAGTAATTCTTCGTCTACTAGGTCCACGTCTCAAGTCAGCAGGCACTCTCCTCAAACGAGCATCTCCTCAAACGAGCAGCATGGTATGGGGTTGTCCACACACGCGAACCGTAGGGTTGGGTCTGTCATGTGGTCGTCTAATTCGCTATACCTGCTGAACGAACGTTTCTGAAAAAATTGCCTCGCGACCTCCTCCACGAGCAGGCTGTCGCGGAACAGGGCCTTGATCGTTTTACTCATGGCCTCCTCAAACCCCGACGGTAGCGCATGAACCTCGTTACGAACGGGTTGCTCGTGCAGCACGTCGACAGTACTTGTACGAGCGTCTGAGTCGACGGGCCTTGTGGACCGAGCAACGACGAGACCAACGTCCACCTTGAGCCTCGATGTAGGACTGGGAGCGCGCTCTGGAGGATGCTCGCACGGTGGATCGCCACTAACGTCGTTCTCCAGGAGCCGTCTGACTTCCCGGGTCGTCCACCACTCATTCGTCAACGGTGTTAGTGGTTGCGATACTGTGTACGAACATTGTACTGAACATTGTACATGACACTGTGAACGACACGTACATGGCGATTGCGACCATCCAACTCGGAGATTTCCCACGGCTCAGGGAACTACTCAACAAACGACTAACGCGCTACGTGAGACTTGTTCGCTCCTGGGGTGTCACAGAGACCATATCACGCAAATTCCTGGAGCGGCGCATTCTTGGCGTGGGGTCTCCGCTGTGGAGGAAGACCTGGGGGTTTGTGAACATGGGAGGACGCCCGTGCTGGCCGTCGTCGCAACGGGGGAGAGGACTAGGAGAAGACACCGACAGCTTACTAAGCGGTGACAAGCAAGGCCGCCCTTGGACCTACCAAGGGCGGCTACGACACTCGCGGTAGAGACGAAGCAGAAACGGCTTTGAGCAAAACGGACAGCCTTCTTCCAGCATTTCGGGTTTGTAGTGGCGGACCCTGACCTTGTGCGGGCGTGCTGCCACCTCGAACCGTGTTTCGTAATTGACCTGCGGCACCTTGGGGTCAACGCGGCCATGGTAGCAGACTCCTGCCCCCTTCCACACGTCTGGGGCCACCTGCGACGGGAGGCCGGACAGAGATATGCACGCTAGACATGAACGTAGAGTTCTGGAACCTGCCAATCGAGGAGGGGTGCAAGGCACTCACCGACTTTATAACTCCGATTGGCCTTTTCGAGTTCAATGTCATCCCATTCGCCCGCTGGGTTCCAACGCGCCATAGATTCTTGCTTCGCACCGCTGCTGGGAGAGAATGCGTTCTGCTACATTGACGACATCGTCATTTGTGGACAGGACATCGACAGCGTACTGCAGCGGGTTAAGCTCTTCTTGGAGCAGTGCAGGAAGACCGGCTTCTACTTGCGCCTGGACAAGGGCGAAAGGATCAAGGATGAAGTAAAGTCCCGGCCCCGGCGTGGGCCAGACGGGCATAAAGGTCCAGGAGAAGAAATCTCGAGCAATCGTCAATGCACCGGCCCCCAACAGGAAGAAGCAACTACAAAGCTTCCTAGGGATGTGCGGCTACCTGAGACCCTTCATCCCCGAGTTCTCACACACCACGGCGCCGCTATTCTACCTGCTGAAGAAGGAAAAGACCTACGAGTGGCGAGACGCGCACGAGAGCGCCTACGACCAGCTCCGACACACCATCCAGAACACCGTCACGCTGCAGGTCCCCACCGGCAATGGCAAGTACATCGTAGAGACCGACGCGGTCGAGTTAGGGGTCGGGTTGTACTCAAACAGGTGTAAGGAAACGCCGCAGTACCCATCGAGTTTGCCAGCAAGAAGCTCAACCCCACGGAGTCGCGCTGGGACACGAGAGAACGGGAATTGTTCGCGGTCAAGTGGGCCATCGAGAAGTGGCAAGACTACGTTAGCCTCTCGCACTTCACAGCCACAAGAGACAATAATCGACCCCCTTCTTCTTCAATAATCGACATAGCCGACTTATCGTCGTTGCTATTCGGCTTTGTAATTGCTGTCGACGGCGTATAGTCATCACCCGTCGAAGCCTCTGAACCTGGATTGTCTAGCGGCTCAGCGTCTACCTTAACACGACGCCTGCCCAACTCCTATTTGGTGCCCTGCGACCAGTTCTTAGTGGCCTCAGTCGTCTTTGGGTAACTGCCTCTTCTGTTCTGGTTAGCGTTATTGGCTGGGTACTTCTTCTTGTATGTTGTATTTGTCGCGTTCTGCTTAGCTTGGGGTTTCGTCTTACGTTCTTCAGGTCGTTACCTTGAACTAACATTGGCGGGCGACATCCGAACACATTTCAACTGACTCAACATTTGACCAGGGTCTCCTACCATATAATGATATGGGACCATTCGTCGGTAGTTAATGTATGCCTTCTGTCTCGTCGGTGTCCATCTGAACTCCTGTCTGAGTAATAGACTTCCTCCAACATAGGCTGTTGCTGGTTGTTGACATTGGTAAGGTCGAGCATGGGTGGTTTCACCGTCTGCGCTGGTACTGGTACAACCTCCTGTATCTTCCTATGCGTAAAAGCCGGCTGGTCAGCCTTCTCTTTCTCCGCAATTATTGTCTCTAACTCCCTCCCGAAGGTCTAGACAGAACACCTTCCTGGGCATAGCTCCAAACCTCCTGGGCATAGCTCCAAACCTCCTGGGTATAGCTCCTTCTGAGATAGGAGAACCGTCCAAGGACATAACGATTTCAAAAGAAATTTCTATAGATGTTTTTGTCATGACTCATTCCCATCACCCATACCCACAAATGGAATGACAACTGCCGGACATCACATCCATTAGCAGCAATGCCATTAAAAGGTGACTATTAATTAATTACTCAAACGATTTCCGATGCCATCAAGAAGTCTACTGTTGCTGCCATCAATCTACCTGGGTCGTCCGGGGTGGGTTGAGGACACGGGGTGCCGCCAAGGGCGTCCCCGCGTGGAGAGAGCTCCACATTACTGGTCGTCGCATCGGAATGTAGGTTGGGCATCACTTGTAGGTTTGTGTACCCCCTACCCTCTTTTATTGTCGACAATCTCTTCTGAGCTCGTTGTGTCTCCGGACGGCTCACTACCAATACAACTACGATCACACATATACGGGGCTCTAAAGCAGTCCGGGAACTTGGATGAGTTTACCGAGAGGCTGGCCTGGGTAATGACGAATAACCACCTGCAGCTGACAAGCAAGGAGGTAGCCAACTTAGTGGCAGGCATGGTTAGCCCTATTCCAGAATGGAGCTACAGCCAGGATAGGACCGGCACCGACGCGTGGCAGAGGTCGCGGCCGCGGACGAGGCCGTGGGCGCGGCATGTAGGAAGCAGGACGGCGATCTTATCGCAGACCGGTGTGCCGTACAATATTATGCGATCGGGCCTGCCATTAGCTTTTACGAACACGTACGTAACCCATTCAGCCCGCAGACCCGAATCCAACTCACACCCTGACGGGTCAGCCTGGCGATACCTGTCGTTTTTTTTGCGGGCCTGACGATAAAAAGCATCTACCAATTTCGATCAAAATGAAGACAGTAATGAGTGTGGAGGCAGCATGGAGGCGGGACAGTACACTGTTGGGAGCTATTGTAAACCTAGACGGGACAAGACCCGGTCTTAGTGGATGTATGGCTCGAGTGGCGGAGGTCGGTTTCCCAAAAGGGCCGAGTGTCAATGCTCTCATTTTGGCACCTGAAGAGAAGTTTCTCAGGTCCTCACGATTTGATTTGCTCAATGATGCGAATCGAATCAAGCTTTGCCTGTCGTACAATACGTGTGGTGTTGGACCCACCGTCATGTCCAAGTACGACGACGCGCGGCAGACAGGCCAAGATCCCCCGAGCGTCGAGTCAGTCCTCGCTGGCGCTGTCAAGGAGTATTTAGGAGGCGGAGATAGTGTGCTCACCAAGACGGCTGAAGAGATTTGTCTCGAGATTTTCGGGAACAGATCTGCGTGTGTCGCCGATCTGCGTGGTCAGCAGAAGGGGGACAGTGTGGTGCAAGTGCTGTCCTGGAAGCCTCTGACACCAAAGGGCTTGGAAGACTTGTGGGCCCTCGTTCCAGAAGGATTGGAGGCCGATTATGGAGGATTCCGTCATGGAAGATGCCATCCAGCCGATGTCCCAGATGGATTTGGAAGCAGCTCAGGAAAGGCCCAACAGTTGCGCGTTATGGAAGCTGAAGCTGGGGGCTGGTGCGGCGACCATTGCAGGTATCGGGTTGCTGGTGTGGGCAGTCTTTAACTCGTTCGCTGCAGATGCCGTAGCTGAGGATGAAATAAAGCGCTCCGTCATAGTTGATGGTGAACCGACTAACGAGGTCGGTTCTCTCACAAACTTGGCCGCGCTGGCATGTCCAGCGGACCTTATTCTGGGAGGCGAGAGGTTGCCCTGTGATCGCGGCCGCCTGAGCAACACCCCTTTTGACATCATGTATTCCGGGACGGTTCGAGCTCGGAACGCCTCCCAAGCGTGTGCCACCGGCAGTGGCATCATTTGGAGCTTTAAGAACGCATTGGAGGGCGATGAATGTCACGTCTTCGGGATTCCGCACGCGTTCGACTTTCTCGCCGTCTGGCGCATGTTGCAGTCCCACACGTCCCCTGAGGTGGCTTTCGGCTGCTGCAAAACCCCGGAGGCAGCGGCCGAGGACGAGTGCCGCACCGTTATCGAGAAGTTCGACCCGCGACACCCCGTGCCCACAGCCGATCTGTGCGAAAAAGCGAATATCCTCCTCAAAGAACACCCTTCCGTCCGCACCTGCAGCGGCACCTGCCAGAACTGCCAGCGCAACAACTTCGAGGTGGTCCGAGACTGCACTTGCGCATTCGCCGCTCTGCACTGCCAAGTCAAGGACCTACTACTGAACGCAACCAGCAACATCTGGCTGACTGACACCGATACCACATTACTGAAGTTGTTCAACGGCGTCACTGGTTTCCACGACAAGGACTCGTCTGTTGAGACCTGTGGCTTCGACTGCCGCCGGTGACCTCGACCGCCGTGTTCGACAAGTCACCGGACATCTGATCAACAACACCATGGCAATGAGAGCATATATGGCTTTGGTTGAGGAGGTTTATTGCTTTGTTCCATAGCAGGACAAGTTTATCAGCGGCCTGCTGCATCTTCACTCGTTGTGTCGTATTGGATTCACTCGTTGCATTGGATTAATAAACGGATTTTTCCCGACCGACCAGACCAGAAGTGGATGGCGCGGAAATTGTGCCCACGCTTTTGGGTCGAAAGATAGGGGTGACTGTTTTCGCGACCTTAGCGTCGCGCGAAGATGGTCCCGTTAAGGAGGCAGCGGCTGTGGGCGGGACGTGGTTTCTTTATAAGCACTATCACTCGAGATCTCCGTCCGAGACCTCTGACTCCAGTGCTCTAAGGGGGGGACTTCGCGTGGTCTGTGGTGAACGGGGG